TTTCTATTGTAAATGTAACATTTGTCTGCATTTAACAAAAATGATGCAACATTTCTCTGATAAAACTAGCATAAATACCATGGTGTACGAGTTGTAACTAAAGAACCAATAAATTATGCTCCAGTGTCAAACATATTCTAATAAAGCAATTAATTAAAAAGAAGTAGGTTTCAAAATAAACTATTCTTAAAACTAAATATTTTAAATATTACATGATAACTATCTAACTAATTTACTGAAACCTACTTCTTTTCAAAGAAGTTGTGATCCTCGCACAGAACTCATTTATTGCATACTTGCTCAGCAACAGTTTTATTAAATTTTGTACCTCAGAGCAATGCTCTTTACAGCCAAACAATTGAAAATCAGAATTTTGACAATAATTTTCAAGTTTATCAAGAAGTATTGGTGTATTTCCTTTGTTTTCTAAAAATTTGAAAATTTTCTAAGATATCTCTCAGAAAATGTTTTAATAACAACATTCTTTGGTTTGGAACATACACACACATCAATACTTCCCTAATAATAATAATAATAATAATAATAATAATAATAATAATAATAATAAACTGGAAAGGCCCCAGGTTTTGATGGAATTCCCCGTGAAATACTAAAAATAGTGCCTCAGGAGTATCCGGAATGCCCTTTGTCAATCTATAACCGCTGCCTTGATGGAAAATTCTTCAAGACGTGGAAGAGACAAAATCTGATACTCCTCCGAAAGGGCAACAAGCCGGTAGATCAGACGTCATCATACAGACCAGTGGGCCTCCTTGACACCATGGGCTAGCTATTTGAGTGTTTAATACTCTCTAGGCTCGAGTGACTCATTTTCTTTTCTCACAGGCAATATGGATTCTGAAGAGGCCACTCGACGACGGATGCCATCCTGGAAGTAATCGATAAAGCAGACGCAGCCAGATGAGGAGTCGGCAAGAAGAAGGAATTCTGCGCGCTCGTGGCAATTGGCATTAGAAACGCCTTCCACTCCGCTAGGTGGAAGAACATTATAGAAGTGTTAGTTAACAAGATGATTCCGGAATATCTAATAAGGCTTATTGAAGATTACGTCCATGAAAGGACGATAACTTATGTGAACAGTATCAGGATTGAAGAGAATGTGACGTACGGTGTTCCTCAAGGGTCCAGACTTGGGCCATTATTTTGAAATGTCCTGTATGATGACATTCTAAGAATTGACCTGCCGAAAGATACGCAGCTCATAGGCTATGCGGACGAAACGCTAATAATATGCCACAGCGTTAACACTGAACTCCTCGAATTGAGAGGGAACGCTGTTTAGGGTTAAACGATGGTTAGACGACAGCTACCGATGGCAGTGCAAAAAACCGAAGCTGTTTTAATCACCAACCGGAGGACCTTTCACTTCCCAGACCTCCGATTGGGAAGGGAGAGAATCAACTGGAAGCGCCAGATTAGGAGTCGAAATAGACAATAGACTCAGCTTCGGGCCCCTCATAAATGTGATGGCAGAGAAGGCGGCGAGGATAGGAGCTAACATTGCAAGAATGCCACTGAATGTCGGTGGACCGAGAGAAGCCAAGGGAAGAATGATATCTGTCATAGTTCACTCACAGTTGTATGCTGCTCCAATCTGGGCGGGTTCGCTGGAGAAGCTGCCTATCAGACACAAGTAGACCCAAGTGCAAAGACGAATGGCCTTGAGGGTGGCGTGTGCCTACTTGCCGCACAGTGTCTACTTGCGCAGTGCTGGTTTCGCCAGTACACCACCTATCGACTTAATAGCCATGGAAAGAAAGAGGACGTACCTCGCCTTAAAGGAAGCACAAGCAGACAGTCATCGCCCTCCCAAGCAAATTGAGAGTGTTAAAGCAGAAGCAAGGAGGTTGCTCCTTGAAGAATGGCAAGGAAGATGGGATGGGGATGTGCAAGGCAGATCGACTCATCGACTGATTACAATCATCGAGAGATGGATAAGCCGAAGTTATGGGGAGGTGAGTAATTACCTGTCCCAGGCTCTTACGGGACATGGGGAATTTAATAAATACCTCTACGATTTCAGGATCGTAGAGTGGCCCACATGTAGTCTCTGTCACGCAGACATAGATGATGCAGAACATACACTATTCCAGTAGAAGGTATGGGACGCGGAACTAGAGGTTTGTAATGTCAACCTCCAACAAGTTATAAACCTCGACAACATGGTCGACATGATGCTGAGCTCGCAGGAGAAATGGAAAACCATCGAGAACTTCATAGTTAGTGTTATGAGGAAGAAAGAATTAAGACAGAGGAAATAGAGCATCTGCTATCTCCTGCGTGAAGTAATGTATATCGACGTTTTCCACGTGGGAGAGAATACGGTTTAAGAGACGGAGGTTAGGTTTTTAGTCGGTAACCCAGTTGGGAGTCTGACATTACTAGCTTCACTGGTATCCATAAAGGATTTTCTTCCTCCTTAAAATAATAATAATAATATTATTATTATTAATAATAATAGACATAAATTAAATTTAAAATTCAATTCTCGTATTAAATATAATATCATGGAAAGCTATAATATAAATTAATATTAGTTTTATAATGGTAGTGTAAGAAGACTTAGGTTAAAAATCAATAATAATAATAATAATAATAATAATAATAATAATAATAATAATAATAATAAATTCTTCATAGGTTTGTGCCTAGGCTGGGTCTGTCCTTTATATTCAACAATCAGTTTAGGAGGGTTTGAAAACATGCAACAGAAAATTATTAGTACTATTAGTTACATTTTAATCATCTTGAATAGTCAATCCAAGGAATGTTGTTCTTTGGGTTATTTTTACAGGCATGTTTTTTATCGTCAATTTGCTGCAGGCTTTTCTTTAGAGAGTGGATTCCGAAAGTTTAGGGAGACAGTT